GCTGAAATGTAGACCGGTTATTTTCTCCGGACACTTAGGCCTCCGAAAATCAATAGGTGTGTGTGTTGGGGGGGGGGGGGGGGGGGGGCTCATGCAATATTTTCAATGGGGAGCGCCAATAAAATCCTAAAATCATTCACACTATATTAACTACAAATGCACCCTTGTCACGACTATTTCTTTAGGGGGAGACCGTTCGCATGTACATCACAATCCTTCTTTTTGATAAGGCCAAAAAAAAAAGTCTCCGGTTTCTGGTATGGAGCTTGTCCAAAAAGTGGTGCGGCTTCGCGGCTGTTTTTTTTTTTTTTACCCGACTTTTTTGCTTCAAATTTGCTTCAAATGTCGGCTGATGACTGCCAATGGTGCCCGACTAAACTTAGTGCAAATATATGGGAGTCCAGAGAGGCCCCATAAAGCTTATTCCCGATCATAACCCCATCTAAAAACACGTTGAAATTGCGCAGCAGCAGAATTCCAGTCAAACCAGTGAGTTTGGCGGTTTTGAGACATCATCTTTCATTGAAAAAAAAACTTTTTCATTTTGCCGACGCGCATGGCTACGGCGACGCGCGCGCATACCAGAAACCGGAGACTTTTTTTGTTTGGCCTAATGCAATTTTTTTTTAAAGGAATTTATTTTGGGGGGGCTAGGCAAAATTTGGGGGGGGGGGGGGCTAAAGCCCCCCTAGCCCCCCCGTAGAACCGCGCCTGGCCGATATAACTTTTAACATTGATGTGTGCATTGACAGTGTCATAACTCGAGACTAATGAAACAATGCCACAGTAACAAACAGCGTCTAGAGTGTACATGTAAACATGTAATTATCTAGAAATATATAAACAGCGTTCCTCAAACTGAGCCTGCAGCATGGGCCTTATTCACGAGTTGGCCATTTTTGTCGAGTTCCCTGAATGTATTTCATTAATTGTTAACTGTTAAATGGGATGGCGCCAGACTATTTATGCATGCAGGCACAATACAGCCTTGTTTTACTGTCTTTTAAAAAAAAAAATATGCATGGCTTTAAACATTCGGGAATGTTTAATTACAAATTTTAAATTATTCATTGAAGCAGATTGGAATTTATTATAAATCAACTTGCTTTCATTTCTCTTCGCAAGTTTGAAAAATTAAGATTTTACCTAACTTTCAATTCAATATGGCCGACTCGTGAATAAGGCCCATACATCTCCATCTCGATATATCGATATAGGGCGTTCAAAGTCAGTCAGTGTTATTGGACTTTGATTAGCAGTTGATCGAATGTACTTAAGTTTGCAATCGGTATATATCCATGAATCGCATGAGAATTATTTTTCCAACTATAGGCCTACATGGACGGTGAGTCAAAAAGAAAGTGACCGCATTAGAATAAATATTAAATACAAATATGCGGCTCGCACTACTTCATAAAAATAACATAGTGATAAAGTACAGTAGTACATGTTATTGACTAGTAACTTTGAAAAATTGACTTAATTTGCTATTTCCATGTTATTATTATTGTAATAAAAACATCACAAAATTCACTTGTCCATCGCTAATAATTAACCGTCCTACGAACTGATGAATAGCCGTTTAATACAGTGAAGCATAAATGCAGTTTTCCCACCTCCATGAATGAACGAAAACTTGCAAAGGAAAACAGACAAAAATCGCAATCAATATTTTAGGGAAAAAAGGGTGGACCGTGTTCCTCTTACTCAAAACACAAAATCTGAGTCAAAATAATGTTTCAGTCTTGACGCAAATGATTAAAATCCCATTTGTATTTGCGTGTGTGTGGGCCTAATCTGTACTTCTCACTCGGCTCAATAGCTTCCAATGGCATTCCAAATGGAGAGCTATAATGGATTATGTTAGTAAAACCTGCATAACTTTTGGTAGCATGGAAAAATTTCAACTGTAGTTTTTTTCAGATGAGTGAACTAACATGGATTGGAATGAAATATGTCTTTGAAGTCATACTTCATTCTTTTATTAAATTTGACTGCTATTTAAGAAAAAGAAATCAGTAATCCAGGTCGCTTTCTTTTTGACTCATCCTGTAGTTGGGACGGTCCTCAGTAACTGCTTTTTCGGGGCAGTCTCATCAATAGTTGGTGAATCCCTAACTATTGTTGGGACGATCCTAACTGTGGTTGGGATCGTTCCAGCTATAGTTGGGGACGATGCCATGGTTGGGGCGTGACAATACCATAAGAGGGTGTAAATCAAAACACATTCTTTTTAACGAACATTTTGAAAGGGATATGACTTAATTCTACGGTTTTTACCTTGCTTTGCGTCGATCGTAAAGTGAAGATGCTTTTTCACAGTTTTTTTTTCTTCAAAAAAATATGAAATCTAGTCCCACATATATCTGAAATCTGGACGGGCTATTTTTTTTTCAAAGACATGCTTCAGATTTATTTCATTGTTGTTCCTTGAAATTGTTCCTTGAAAATGGTGTCCATAACCTGGGTGAACGTTTTATTGGATTGCGCGATTCACGACCACTCCGCAATAACGGAACAGCGCCACCTACATGTATTGTTGATTGTGGAAAGACCTTATCACTACTTATAAAGTGCAAAGGATATTGATTGACGAGTTGATGGCCAGCGTACACGTATACATATATACGAGCACAAATATACCCGCGGTTAGCCATTTCCGGCAATCTTTTGTTCCGCCGAGGAATGTTGGAGAAATGTGTGGTGGATGCTCAATATTTTCGAGATATTCTACGGTGGGCAAAATGTTGTTAATATCTACGCTTAATTTGGGTGAAAAAGAATACACAGTGCAGAAAACAAATGATAAAGACGTGTGGAGCTTTTTACTATTTTTTGTTGGGGGGGGGGGTGCGTTTGCTCCCGGCTCAACCCCCACCCCCTTGGCCCACGAGGGGCCTGCCAGTCACCTATCAAACACTGTACTCTAAAACACAGTGTAAATTTTTTGTTGAGTAAAGTTGTTGGGTAAAATAATTGAGTAAATGTTTAAGCAATTATTTATTTAAACCCCCAAAACACAAGCACAACCAGTCCCAAAATAGTACATGGGATTGCTTCTCCTCATGCCCGAAAATTGGAATTCAAGACACCAAGTTACACTATGACTTATTTAGTCAATTCTTATTTAATAGCCTAGTCAACAAGCACATGTGCTAGGACATTTGCATTTATTAATGTAGCCTACACGTATGTATCTATAGTTGTTCACGGCTTCAAATACTCTTTCTTTAACAATATTCACCAACGGTTTTAGTGTTCTCACGGTACGTTGAAGTTGCAGCTTGATGATTTTGAAATAATTCGAAATAATTTTTGTATCCGAAACAGTATCAAATTTCTGACGAGTAGGCTTATATATACACGTCTATTTGACGTATCCTTACAAAATCAAGTTCCTCCTGTCGTTATTCATTAATTTAAAACATCTGTTATACATTTTATGGATAAATACCTGTTTTTGCCATGTCCATCATAGACGTTTATAATTTTGTTGTCATGCTCATTACGTATTAATTGTTTTCTCAGCTACAGTCATCATCTGTTTTCATTATCATTTCTGTCTTGTTATACTTCGCGATATGTAAGTTGTCGTTGCTAAGCACTTCGTTTATTTAGTTCTTTTCTTTCCTTATCTTTTGTTTTTATCAATAACATTTTTAATCCGGAAACTTTCGTTCAGTATTCCTTCAGTGATGTTTCTTTGGCACATTCTTCCCCGGAATTAGTGAATGCTGTGAGTGTTGATATTTTAGGTAATTGGTTGCTATCTTTCTTTGTGACACTTCATGCAATTTATTACAGGAAGATGTTTATAGTTATTTAGGCCTAACTGTTTAAAATTCATTTTTGACAAACGGAAAATCAGCGTATGCCTGCAAGGTTTTTTTAGGTTGAAAGTAGGGCGGCTGGGGCCTATATGTATAAACCTATAATAAAATGAAAATAACTATTTTTTTCCCCTAGTTTCAACTCCGAAAAGTCCTTGACTTTCCAGCAAAAAAAATATGACGAAATGCGCATTTATGATCAATTAATCTTCTCTATGTGTGCACCTACTTCCTACACCCGCTCCCACTTTTTCCGGGAAGTGAAAGTGAAATCGGTGACAGGTGCCGCTTAGCATCAAGCGGTGCTGGGGCAAGCAGACCATAGACACCCGCCTACACCCAGCGGACGGCTGCCGGTGCGCCCAGCCGAGCCCAAGGCCACATAAAGCTGCCCGTGCCCCCTAATTTCCCGTGAACGCCCACTCACAAAACTCACCCCGACAGTGAACACCGGTTGTGGACACGCCCCCGTGACACTATATTGTTTAAAGTTAATGACCTCCAAACCGTGAAATAATATCACAAGGGGGCGTCGTTTAAAAATCCAATGTGTGTGCATTCCATAAACATGTGTCACGTGTGTTGCATGGCTACTTAAATAAAAAATAACAAAAGGGTAAATTAAAAAACCCACATATTTATCAAAATCACAAATTTTATTTTGTATTTTTCAGAGTTCCATACTTTCATATTACATGTATTTTGAACAATGAACAATATAAATTATTATTTTTCTGTATTTATTCTTGTTTCTCAACAACCCTCAATAAATATACCTTTGCCATTATTCAACATAATTGGACTTGATTACCCCCAAATTCCCAAAAGTGACGTCATACTCCGCATTGGGGTTTAGTAACACGAAGTAACAATAGATATTGGTACACGCTGACACGTGAATATTTGAATGTACGGTTTCCAAACTGTGACGTCATACTCCGCATTTGGATATATGGCAATTATTACCTATTGGTTACCCATTGTCACGTGAAGTTTTTAATTGTTCGGTTTCACGGTCAAACTTACATCATCCGAGGAAATGTGTTTTCTTCCGTAGTGGGCAAATAAAGTTTAGAACGATGACCCGCCCGGAGCGATTGTAGAATTCGAAGAAATTCGGATTACAGAATATCAGCAGGAACTAACGAAATAACACATTCCAAGCATACGTTTTAGTATCCGCAAATTGTCACGGGGTTTTATTTCACAATCTGAAGTCACTAAATCTCATCCTAGCACACAATATCCTATTACACAGAACTTGTACATGTACATGTACATCACAAACGTATAAACTAGACACAGACATTATACACGTATGAATTCGCATCTCATAGCATCGCTACTTATGACAAACGCTTTTCAACATGATGTACATGTGGTAGGTATTATGCATTACAGCAGACCCTTTTGTTAAAATGTTTTTACATGTTTTGATACAGTGAATTAATACAAGATATCATGGCAGTGATAGAAAAACATGAATGTTAAAATCACACAATGCATAGCCTCATTTATATTTTAAAAGACATTAACACATGGACATTCTGAATCGTACGCAACACGTTCACAGTTGTACATTTTTATTTCCAGAAATTACTATTTTACGACCACGTCACAGTTTAATACATTCTTGCTATACATCAAACTCTATGGTCAACAGAGAAATGAAACTTGGACCGAAGCAAAAGCAAATCTCCAAACATAAACCATGATTAATGTACAGAATGATACTGTGTATGTTTTATGTGGTTATTTACAAAATAAATAAATAAATAAATATCTTTGATGGAGCAGCGCAGCATCGCTTCGACGCTGTTTGCTTTCTTTGTCTCGTTAAAAATAATTTATAAATAAAAAGCTAAGCTGTCATAATATGAACATACTAATAATTAAAACAAAACTTCACGTTTACACCACATGAAAAACAATAACACTGGCAGTGTTCCGATATTTAAAAAATTCCATCGTCGTTTAAAATCTTCAAAACTGGAAAATTACCAAATACGGCGATACAGTATTAATACGTTAAGAACTACTCCCCTTTCGAAGAGCCCTTCGACGATTTACATGAAAAATAAGGCAAATCCGCTGGTTTTTATTTCAGTTTTCTGTATTCATCATTCCTCAAAAACTTCCAATAAGATGGCATGAATGCATATACAACAGTTTACTGATACAGTTGAAGTAGGTTCGGAAAACAAAATCCAAAACAGCAGTCGATGACTCAACAAAAGCTTGGAAAGGTCAAATTAATTAGCGAGGTATTAGATCATCTTTCCCAGGTCTACAAAAACGACACTTGCTTTCAAATAAACTTTTTTTCTGCGATGAGTAATAAACTGACTCACTCCTCCCGAGCAAGGCCCCTCATTCAAAGTCAGTATTTAAATGCGTGGGCGGAAGCCTAGAAGCTAGACTTCTTTAGGTAACAAACTTCAATGAGCACCGTTCTTTGTATACGATTCCAAACAATGTTATCTGAGTAGCGCAAGTAAAAGTCATATACGGCGTTATGCGAATTCATGCAATCTTCAAATTATCCACACATTACTTAGTGTAATGCCCTCATTTAAAAACTATAACTTCATAATTATTGGCATCATTGGCATGTGCAATTTTAATTATAATAATTTGGAGGAAAACAGCTTTAAATATTCTACCGCCAACAAAAGTATTATTGCACTTTGATTAATTATTACACATTATCTTAGTCGAGTGAGACTACACTGAAATCGTCAGATGTTGGAATGAATAGTGGTGAATGCAATTTAGCTCCACTCTCTGTAACATTCATGATCAATTAGTGAATAGCATGGAAACCTATTTTGATTACCAGAAATCTTCTGAAGGTCTGCGTTCTGTTAAGGTTTGTGTTAGCGGACTAGTTTGGAATACAAATTGTAATCTTTTGGAATCTTCAGAATAAAAAGATGGCGATTGAGGGAGAAGCGATATTTCTGTGTGCTTCAATGCTTTTACAATTACAATCATCATTCATATTAGAGTAATTAATATCATCAGGATTACGATTTCTGTTGAACACTTTTTTTTCCTTTGGAGCAGGCAATATAGTTTCAGTTCATTTTTTTCTTGAATACATTTTGGCTTTTGAAGTTTCTAGAAAGGTGGTTTGATCAAATTGAGCAGCAACTATGCAAAGAGCAGGGTGTTAAATAGATCATTTGCCATTGCCTGCTGGTCAAGTCTTAATAGCGTCTTACATCATAGCGTCTTACATCATCAAAGTTTCTTCATTGTTTGTCTCAAAGTTGAATGAGAGTCCTATTGGATTCCGGGCTGGACATATCACTGCTGCCGCTCTCTGATTTGATCGCCTCCCTCCCGCAGCTCATAATGTTATCTCCCGCGTCGCCATTTTGAACCGTGTAATTGAAGATGCTGGTGGGCGTGACCACTTCGGTTGTAGGGGTATCCAGAGTGCTGGTGGATGTAGCGGTGGAGGTGGTGCCTGTCTGTTTGTTGGCTTTGTTCTGCCGACACATTGCCTTGTGTGCCTCCAGGATAAACTCAAGCTGCTCCTTCTGCTGATGGAGCTTGGTGATTTCTTGCTCCAATGTGGCGTTCTGCTCCTCCCAATCTTCAGTTTCCTGTAACAAATAATGACAAAGACAATTAAAAATGCGTCCAAGTAGCTGCAATTTGGATATGACTTTAGTTCTTAAAATGAAATGATCCTGATGTATTGACGTAGTGTGACTCAAGAAGAAAGATTTTCCCATCAATGTATTACATCATTCAGTTGGCAAACCAAATGCTGACTAATCACAAATTACTGGAAATAGGCCAATCGGAATGATGCCAAATGTCCTCAGGACAACCTGATTTTCTCATTTCATTTTTACAGCACTACCTTTGTGTATGCTTTTTCAATGTCCTTGAATTTTGTCAGAACAGATTCTGTCAATGAGTATGATATTTGTCGAAACATGATTTGTCTATAAATTGTACTATTTGTAGATAATTTCAGCTTACCCCAATGAGAGTGTTGGTGTGGTCCACACGCCTCTGGCGACACTTGGCCGCAGCAAGCTTGTTTCTCTCCCGGCGGACTCGCCTTTTGTCTCTCTCCTCAACTGGCAACTACAGGCAAAAAAAACGGGACAAAGAAATTAATTATGCATTCTGGCCAAATCCAGCATACACAAGACACCAATACAGTACTCAGATATGCATTAGAGCGGTGTTATATATCACAATCCATTTTATTTAACGAGTTCGTGTTTAAACAGCTTAATACTTGGGACTAAAGCCATAATCAATTCCGTAGGCCCAGTCGTTTATAATTAAAAACAATCATCTGTTTATTTTTCCCCTTCTCCATTTATACAGTGTGATCATGTGTACAGCTTAAATGTCCTTGAAAATGCCCGACATTTGTCGAAGGTGAACAAACAGGTTTCTCATTTCTTTGACTTGAATGACCTGTCTGTTTCATCATGCTACGAAACACTTCATTACGTGTGATACTGAAATCCAAGATGGCCGCACGCTGTGGTATGCAATAGCAGACATGCTGCGCTGATCGCTGCAGTGCAGGCATTTTCTCTGTATAGTAAGTGCATGTTATGTTGTGCACACGTACATGTACATTGTACATGTACGTACGTCTGTTCTGTCAATAATGCTATGCATAACAAGCCACGTACTGGTGACCTTGGGCTCCGAAGCATAATTACTGCAACAATTTAGCAAACGTCTGCACCAAGGCGAATAGTAATACCACACAGCAAAAGGCGACCAGTACTTTTACGTCTTTCGAGTAAACCATGTTGACGTACAAATTCAGCGTCACAATGCCACAAGGCGTGTTTACAAGAGTGTACCAGCACAATGCTTTGGAAAATATTGGCCCTGATCAAACAATGCTAAACTAAAGGGTGAAGGATCGATTGTGATCGACCCTCGCCACAGTACAGAACATTCACGGCTTCAAACCAGCCCTTGTCCATTGGGTTCGCCCTACACAATCTGCATGATCTAACAAAGGCTTTGGTAAGCAGCTTAGGGCTGTTTTTACAGAGGTCAATTTGGACACAAGGCCTCCTGTTGTTGCGTTCGGCCATTGCTGAAGTAACATCCAATATTTTGGTCTAACATGAAGGCCCTGGCTACTGAGCAACTACCTTGCTTGATACTCGCAAGAAAAATGATTCAAAGTTGACTCTTTCAAGTTCGTGACTGGCTGGTTTTACTTTCCCGACATCCAGTCACCAGTTTTAATCGAGTATTTCCGCACAAATTAAAGTCATTACATGTTCTTGAAAGGCTAAATCCTGCCCAACCCCTTATATCGTATATCTCTATTTTAAGGTGAGACAGCCAAGTCATAAATCCTGGCCAAATTACCCTGGATGTACTGATGATTCATAGTTCCAACCCCCCCCCCCCCAATCTTGAATTTTGTCAAAATTCTGTTTTGACAAAGGAACAAAATTGTGAAGTAATCAAGTTAGTGATAATAACAACGCGTTCATAATTTTGAAATCGAAAAAGAAAAATTGGAGCATCAGTGTGGTATCGTTGACTGAAAAAAAAGACAAGAATGTTTCCAAGAAAAGACCGAACTGGGATGATATTTAGGAGGACAAAAGTTCAATGTCCGGTAGGTAGAATGTCTGAATGGCGAATACCCTATCAACTTCCTATCAGGTTAACCTGCCGCCCACGTAAGGGGCTATTGAGTCTATTGTTCATGTACCGCCCTCTAATCACTTCCGGCCTTTCAATGAGATTCACGGAAAGACAACTCTCGCCAATTTCCGGGAAGTGAATCGCGAGTTTCCAGTCGTTACAAAAGTTCGGTATGGAATGGAATCCTCAAGCCATCACGGGAAATCAACCCGGACGGAATGTCAAAATCCGCAAGGAACCTGACCAAAAAACAGGTCCGATTGCTGGTTTCAAATTATAAATTTTAACTTCCGAGTGCAATCAGATGTGGGCTAATAGTACAGTGTAGACTAATTATAATAAAATGGATTGTGATATTTTAAGATTTGTGTAAATCAAGATGAACTTATTTACAGAGTTATTATTGAAATTAATTATGATATCTTTAACATTTGCTTCTTTAAGAACTACTTACCTCTTCATCTCTAATTCTTCTCCTAGATGTTGAAGGAGACATCCTCAAGAGTTCGGAGGAGACTCTCCCGTGGTGCAAGCCGCGAGATCCGTGTCTGCCGGTGATGGGCCCGTGGGAGTTGGTAGACACCGAGGGAGGAACAAAGTTTCCGCCGTGGATGTTGTTGTTGAGGTGGGGCAGCCATCCACTCGTCAAAGATGTCGGTGTGATGACAGATGTTGGGATGGCGTGTTGATGTGTGCTCATGGGGTGAGCGCTGGTCATAGGAGGAGCATAACTTGAGATGTCCATGATGTCTTCTGAGGCAGTGTAGTCCTAAAGGAGGAAAGAAAACAAAAGACAAAATCAACAAAAATGCATTTTCATAAAATTTGGTATTAAAAATTCAAATAAGTTCAAATCAAGTTAATTCACCATCACTCCATTCAGTAAAGAAGCTAGGTTCGGTATAAGCCTAACACACTAACAGGTATGGCATCGTTAACTTACCGCTTCAACCTTTACAATTTTTGCCGTTGTTGGATACATAATCGACTGTCACTCGCCAATACAATTAAGTATTGAAACAAAAAGTGAAACTTGCCAACAAGTGAAATTCCTTTTCAATCAATCAACTTGACCGCAACTACAGTAATTGACAGTTATTAACTTGAGTGGTTGTCCCTACGTGAAATCAACTCGGTGGAGTTCTAGAGTTTGAATGAAGTCAAGTTAAGTTACCAACATTAAAAGCAGTGAGTATAGTCCCACCTCCCCGTCCGGCCTCAACTACAAATTAGCTTAATCCTGAACCGGGAGGGGCCCCTCATCCGCCCGGAAAAGGGGAGCTTAATATCCCCGCATGACTTTGACTAAACCTCGGTTCAGATTTTTGGCCGCGTGAGTTGCGCAAAAGAACAGTCACATGACCCATATTTTGGCAAGAGGATGGGTTACCACACGCCGGAACCCAAACAGCATCCCTAACTTTTCCAGAAATCTCTTCAGCAAGGACGGGTCGACGACCCGGGTTAATACACTCAATGTCCTCATGGGGGAGAATGAGCCCCCAACGACTAGTCATCAGCTATAAAAAGAAGCATGATGCACGCTTGTAAATTCACCGCAAGACCCTGGACACATCTGAATCATACTGGATGAGAAAACAGACCAAGAGGGCGATACATACCTCTCCATCTGCAGGAATGGCTCCCGTTGACATCGTGGTCAATACATCGTTCAGGTTCTTCATCAGCGTTGTCACTTCTTTGGATGGCATCGTAACGTTAGGGTACATGCCAAGTGGCCGAATGTACAACCAGTATCGAGCTCTGTCAACGACGGTCAAATCAGGTGCACAAGTCTCCAAATATTCCGCACTTCTGTGGGAGATTCACTCTGTAGGATGAACAATAATGTCTCTTCAGTGTCTGTTATATTCGTTGGACTTCGGAAGAGTTCGTTCGGTTTCGGATAATACTCGCGTTTGTCTCTCAGGGTTTCCTCGAGCGATGAGTCACAGCCGATGCTATTGGGATAGTCCCAAAACCTCGGTGTATTATATAGATATCCAACCATGTAGCTTGCATATCCAGCGCGCTGAACGGCTATATTTAGAACGTGATGTAAAGTCATGAATATTCATATCAGTGACCTGCAGTGACAAGTGGCGCTGCGCGCAGTGAGCCGAGGTCAGGTCACAATATTTCCGTTTTACATGTACTATACTTCCCCTTTGCGTGCATATCCCATTTCCTTCGCAAATACTGTTATCGATTTAACACTTATCAATATCTTAGAACCAAAAAGTATGAAGAAAACGCGATTTATAACATTTTCATTGAGTTAATCTTGCAACGTTTGTGCAGCATTAGTTTCTAGACCTTTCCAAAAGCTATTGAATATTCATTTCTTGTTGCCCAGCGACAGAATATTTACATAAGTAAATACAACCTCGTGCGTCACAGAGGTATTTACTATTCATTTGCAGCGTTCCGCTAGTGCGAAACGCTCTGACGTCAAACCGTTCAACCAATCAGTATCACTGTTGATAAATGGTTGCTAGCAAACACGCACTGTGGTATGCACAGTACAATATGCATGTGCATACATGTTAATTTTCTACCCGGCTTTGGACGGACAAAATAGCAAGGTCGCGCAATTATAATGAAGTGATTATCTTTTGTTTAGTTCTTCAATCAGATCGTTTTTTCGTTTTCACCACATTTATTGATTTTTTTTCTTCTAGAAAATGTTCACTGTGTTTGTATAATTCAACAGATAATTAAGTTTCGAGTTGATTCGAGAAATAATTGGAAATAATGGTTATTATTCTAAATATTTTAAAATTAAATTCATTGAATGGATTATAAAATCAAACTTCGTGTCACATCGTATTGTTATTTGCAAAATTAAATATTCTTTGCACATGATATTTTACTAAACCATTAAAAAAAATGAAATCATCCTAAGGATTATTCTTCCTCGACCTAATAATTTATTCATTCAGTTCGTCAGACCACCGTGTGATCTTGCGCGTTCGCTTCGTCAAATTATCATAATTCACATCGGAATATTAACAAGACGCTCCTTATACTCTTTATGTAAGGTACTAAATTTAGATTTCTTGGTAGAATTACATCGGCCGCCAGAATTAGCCAGCTACCTGCTTAATGGAATAAATTATGCTGCGTCGGGGTAGGTATAAAAGACCATGCAGTCTACACGACGTTATTTCGGGTAAAGGTTAAATAGTAAAATCCTGCAGCAGATGAAACGGAACACATAAAGATACAAATATACATAAACAATATCATATTTCAAGAATGAAATTCATGAATGAATTGTTATCGCAAATTATTCAACATAAATGTCAGACATATGTTGGCCATGTTTACATCTGAGTATTAGTCTGTCATTGCTTGTGGTAATTACGAATGCTAAACTGTTTTCATTTTATGCTCCGTTACAAACATGTTTAAATAAACACTGCTCTATATATCATTTAGAAGATGCTTGACTATTTTTGTATGGCATGTAGTCTAATAATTCTATTAATTTATCGGCGATGGTTAAAATATATTTATCGCCTGTTCATGACTCGTTAAAGGTTAAAATATATTTATCGCCAGTTCATGACTCGTTTTCGATATTTGTTTCTTTATTTTTCATCTTCAAAATTATTTTGCTTAATTCCTTCGCGCACCAAGTTTCATATGTCATTTTTTTTCTCAAAAAGAGCCTCAACTGAAAGAAACTGAAGTAGGGTCTACCATGTAAAAGAATAAGTTCATAATATGTAATTTGATATTTTTCAATTTTTGCATTCCTTCCAAAAATAATGTCATCGAGTTTCGAAAAATGATTTTAAATTTGAAGTTTGCTAAGCACAAAAAGACTTCAGCACAAGCAGGCTTATATAATGTATATACATCACATTATATTATACTTTATGTTGGGGGCTCAGTTTTTAAATTTGCTGAGAATTTATTTTCTGTTTTGCCTTTGGTCATATGTCCTTAAAATACTGGTTCCAAAAATCCAACAAAATCGGGATTACCCACATGTTGGCATGTTAATTATTATTAATGCCAATGATATGAATTCGTCAGCAAACAATATACAACTGGTAATACCCTTGCTAGAATAGCATTATTAGGGTTCGAGTCAGACATTTTTATCCATTGACCCTCCTGTGTATGGCAGGGCGTGTGCCCATTCAAGTGGATGGACCGTATAACAATTATGCTTTATTAGAGGTTATATTCTATCCACAGATCGATACACAAACTTAACGGTGGTATGTGCCTGTGGGTTTCCCGGTGTAGACACAACAAAAACTATTTGACAATAAAGATGCGTCATGAAAACCGCAAGTTCTGGGATATACCTATAATCATGACTCAACACTAAATGCAATACTCGCGGAACAACAATGCACAGTAATTTGTACACAATGTGAAGTGCATGACCACAGTTGTGTGTATGGTAGATATGAGTGTACTATATCTAATCAGTTGTATTCGGATCGTACACAGCTGTGGTAAATCGGCCGAAGGCGGTACACGCCTACTGGGGCGTGTTGCAGTAACGCCCATGCCAAATCACCCGCACGCTTTATGTTCAAACACAATACCATAGGACCACACGGCAGGCTTATTGGGGTGAGTTGGATCATTTTGACAGGTTAATAATAATTGTGATTTGCTTGACGAGTATAGGAGGAAATACCTGACATTCCAGGCATATCAAACATACCTAGATGACTTAAGAGGATTTGTAATTAGCGTTCTATTCTAACAATTAAACCGCCCCTGTTTGATATTATTTACTCGCACCTTCTTTCCAAATATTTTCCAAATATTTGCTTCGTCACGTTTCTTAGTACTTTTGTTGTTGAGCAGCGGCGGGTGTGTTCTGTGCAGGGACGATGCTTTGCATGTATACATATCACGACCTCTTGACTCGAGTTTGTCATGCTAATAGAAAGATGATGAAATCAACTCTAGGCTGTTTCAAAATATAATATTAAAGAAACAAGTTCAAACCTCGGTAGCAGATACATTGATTTTATTTTAGGAAGTATGTGTTGTCCTTTCCCCTGTTTCTTCTGCTGTCAAGTGGTTATTTAATCACTTCAAAGACAGAAATGTTCACCCACATAGGCAAATATATGTCCCGCTTGTATGTTCAGATTTCACCTCCAAATTCGGTTGCCCCTCCCCCCTCCCTTCCGTAAATACTGGATCCGCCACTAAACCTCAAACAGTGGTCAGATTAGAAGTGGTCCATTTCGGACCTATACATGGAAACATAAATAATTCCACTTGACCCCACCCCCTTACCGGAGGGTAACCTAGAGTAGTCAAGTCGGCAAACCAGCGTAGACACGCGGCAAAGTTGAATGTATACCTGCAACCACTCTGGCCTATACCGTTTGTCCACACGATGTACATGTATGTGCATGGGTGTGTGTACGAGGTATGAGGGTAGGCATTACATAAACCAGGTAGAGTCAACGTTGTGTAGACTTGGGCAAGTCCACACAGTGTTTCCCCATTTCTGGAAAACAGGTTTAGAGGAATTTTTGGGTTAGGTTTATCTGTGGCAGAATGAAGAGAACCACTAAAGGGAATCATAGAAAAAAAAATCGGGTTGAAAGAGTTTTCACAGTTTGAGAAAAATGAGGTTTTTTTTCACTGGTTTTTCTTAACTACACGAAAGCACGAAAACTTGTGAGGAAATTGAATTAATAGAGGCAAAAGACAAAATTCTAGACTTCCAGCAAAAAAATAAAAAAGAATTTATTTAAACAATAACTTCAAGACTTAAGGGGAAATAAAGATCAAAATAACCTAAAACAAGAAACTTCAAAAATGAAACCTTAAAAATAAATTAAAACCAGAAACTCCAAACCGACCAAAACTAAGACCAGGAAAACCAACACTAAAAAACAAGTTAAAAACCAGCAATATTTGACCAAGACTGAAACCTACAAACCAATTATCTGTTAAAAAACTAATAATAAAACACTCTGGCGTCAATTACTCTAGTAGATCACATACTCATAGGGCATGTACACCAAAGATGAAGCAGAAAGAGAGGAAGCTCAATGTACAACTCTCTTCTCTACGGCTGGTCTGCTAACTGAAGGGCTACTTGGAAAAGGCATGGTCTTGAGGAAGATAATTAAGTGACAAGGGTAATATTTACATTCAATGTTACAGGGGCCACAGGTAAAAATTTAGCTGGACACACTATCAGAAAAGTGAAGGGCATATCTAACAAGAAAGGCTGGATTTGTTCAGTGACCTATACACGTACTTAAAACACACACACAAATACATTGAAAATTGCAAGTGAAACTTGGCCCTGCCACACTTAGTACGATTTGTAATCCAAGTAAGCTTTAAAAAAAAATTAATTCAACAGGCTACTTTTGGGACAAATGCGAATGATCCTATATTCCTTTAGCGGATAATTACGACGAATGTTCACTAGTTCAACCTACCTTATAAGTACGGTATAGTGGATTCTGCATGTGTCGCGATGAGTGGATGGGGTACCGTGGTAATCCTTTATTCAGTTGCACTTGTTGCTATAACCATCTAGTTCGCTTTCGACATATCCACCTGTTACGTGTGTATTGTAATTCTTGATGTGCTCTTTATCTCTCGACAACAGTTCTGAAACTCGCTTCTTTTATCCACAGTGAATTCTGTTCCGCTAATGTCAAAGTATATTTTTGTCCTCTGACTTAAATTTCACTTCGGCTCATAAGTTTCAGAGAAATCCCCGCGGTAAAATACGGAAGTACCGTTAATAATTATGCTTTACACGATTACCCTTTACCTGGTTGGGCATCGAACCTTAAGCTGATTCACTTTCACTTCCGCCTTATTTTGTGTCGAATTAGAAATTTGTTACAAAAATAGGGCCTACTGGAAAATATTTAAAGTGTCCATGCAATGAAGTTTTTCTTAGGAACATATTTTGTACAACTTTCTATTCCTCTCGAATGTATGAAAACTATTTGACATCACTATTTGATTAATTTTATTGAAAGGGGCACTTTTTTTACGGACATTTGAAATGATGTTGCAGTGATGTCATTGAGGAAGACGCTGTTCAATTTATGGTTTTTCTTTTATAATTGTGAACCCCAAAATGTGCGAATTAAAAAGAATTTCGAGAAACATTTGCTCAATGGCTTACTGCCATGTACTGACACAGCAACGAATTACAAAAGGAAACACTACACTTTTATTATTATGAATATGGACATTGACATTGGCATAAAACCAAAAAGTTACGAAATTACCCTTGAAAATGGCAAAATAAAAAATGGAAAAAAGGCTTAAATGAGACAAAAAGTGCGTTTTCAAGGATTGCATGAACAAATACATTTATGTGGCCCTTTAATGAAACAGGTGCAACCTTGGGTGTTCAATATCAGATTTCGGAGTGGTAAATTACGTATCGTATGTACGAGATCGTTTTACACAGGGGAGAAGAAGAAAAAAGAAAATCCTTTATACCTGAATAAATAAAATGTTTATTATGATAATTCAAAGTCGAATAAAACAAGACATGGCAAAGCTCGTAAATGTGGTCACAGAACGCATACATTGTGTTTAATTGATAAGAGTGGCTATTGACTGGAAGTCTTTTTATGCAACAGGTGTACACAGTGAGCCGGATTGAGCCCATTATGGAGTCATCCTTTACGATAGCACTGCCCAGCTCTTTTAGCCACCAACCAGGCTAAGTCACTTATGACGGACAAAGAGGACAATAGCTAGCCTCTCCGAGACCAGCTAACAAGTAATGCCCATAGACCTGAATAATTAAAACCAATCTATAGGTATTAATCTTTCCCTTACAATTAGACAACATTCAGAACAGTAGGGCCTAGTGGCCAGAAGTAACAACTGTAGGCTGTCGTAATGTGATTATGTAAAGAATCCTTCATACCTCCATTATGGAGCCTTGGGGGATCTGTTTCTGAAGTTGTTTTATTTTACTATTTATCGCCATTTTTAATTCAATTTTCAATATTTACGTTTCAGAAGACAGGTGACTTTGCCAGAGGTGAATAAGACCCCCTCCCTTAACTACGCCCCCTTCACGGATTCTGGTTGACAGTCTGTTCCTTTGGTGTGGTATATTCTAGTATGATTACATGAGCCGTATAAGGAAACGCGCGTGTTTCGTATTCATTCGTAAGCTCAGATTGCATCCGCCGTGTAGAGCCGGAAGAAATAACACGAGTGAAGTGAAAGGCACGAAAGGAGGAAAATGACAATCGCTTGACGTCGCTTGTTCAAGGTCGTAAAGCGTTTCAGTATGACAAAGATTACGTCACAGTCACATGTTTCAGATGTGATTCGTTTTTTTTTGCGGGGGTTTTGATTTATTTGAAATGGCTGCCAAAAATACGTCAGGTGGATTCACTGAGATAGAAAATGCCAAAAAAACCCAGTTAATTTAATGAATTTATCTTTTGAGTACTTAAACTATCCCATTGATCGAATCCATAGCTATGCAGGTCTAGATTTCTCGTGGTTGTAACATTGATAGCACTTTTGAAGAAAAAAAACAACTGTAGAAAAAAAACCACTGTAACACCAGACTGACTACAGGCAAGTGCATACATTTGAACTGTTAATTGTTAGTTCTTTTAACTTAAACAACCTTTACGGGTCAACTGTTTATTGTGAAGCGGAAAACAAAGAAGTTGAAATTTGTATTGTTAAGAGTATGCATAATACCATTGCATTAATCACAATGCTTGCACTTTATGTATTGTTAGTTGCTAGTTAAACAATAGTTTTTGTAAACTGTCGTAATATCAGATTCAATTTCGATTTCGTGCGTTCAAGGAATTGCCGTGTCATGTTCCATTATTCAATGCCGAAAGGTCACTTTACCTTGCGGCTTAGTATTACGTATTACGCCCTTCATAACAATAGCAAAAGAAAGCAAAAGTACTCATGAGGACAAATGAAGTTCTGCTTCTATAAAACAAATGTCAATGTATAATTATTAATATTACATAACATTCTGTTCGCTTCCTTCTGCTGTCCATATCACTCATGATTATTCTTAGTTAACTTTCGTTTGTACTGTTGGCGCAGAGCCACATTTCAACTTCGTCCCAAAAGCGAAGAGACATCCGTACCCTGCAGATGAAACAATACTCGGGGAAGGATCCATATTTCTTCTTGTTCCACTGAGCTCGGTTTGATACGTTTGTGAGTTCGAATCAGTTGTAAAACAGTACCATCAAGGACAACGTCAGAAGACCATATTTTCTTCATTCATTCATTTTTACTGGCTCCAGAGGGCCGACTTACAACCTTGTTGGCGCATAACTCGCTGACTGACTGACTGAATCACTGACTAACAGACTGTCACTTGTAAAAGAGTATCCGAAAGAGAGATGTGATCAACAAAATAATGGCTAAAGGAATTAAAGTGTCCACGATTTCACTAGAGATAGGGGCACATAATACGCACAGACATGCATTACGTGAGAAAAAAAAGTCACATTGATTTTCGCGGCTTTGTTTTACATTGACTTTTATGAAGTTGTGGGGTTTCATTCTAGCGTACCACTTCAAGGTATACTTGGAACCTGCACTGATAACCCAGTCACTCGGTTTACAATAACTATAATTTATACTCAAGAGGACATTCACACACTACGACAAAAAAATGCATCACCACCCTCTACAAGACATACATTCGTCCACACCTTGAATATTGTATCCAAGCATGGAGCCCAAGTCTCAAGAAAGATGTGACGGTGTTAGAAAAGGTACAGCGTAGGGCAACCAAGATCATCCCAAGCTTGAAAAACAAAACTTATACAGAGAGATTTGAGTTGAACCATACAGTTGGAAGCAAGAAGACAACGAGGTGACTTGATCGAGGTGCATAAGATCGTAAATGGCTTGGAAGGCATTGAGGAGAGCAAGCTCTTCCAGATACACGACAACCCATTCCAAGTCAGAGGACACAACCTAAAGCTCTACAAACCAGGATTAAAGAAAGGGTTGAACTGCAGAAAAAAAACCTTCTTTTCCAGCCGAGTTATTTCCGGAATGGAACAACCTGCCATCACATGTGGTGAATGCAGCCTCAACCAACCTGTTTAAGAACCAACTTGATGCCTTGGAAAATTTTGGATATGGGGTCATAAAGACTTAGCCTATTCAATTCCATCAACCTAAGTCAGCAAGTAACTAAGCATGGAGGAAGGAATTCCTTCCTCCAATTCCTTCCTCCATGAACTAAGTAACTCACTTTCTAATGATTAGTATTTTGCTTTAAAATTGAGCACTCATTTCAGGTTTGTTTTTATTGGGGCTTCGCGGGGGAGCTACCAAAGCCGTACAAACAGCGATATTACCTGAGAAAAGATGTTCAGATGTTCAGATTTAAAGGATTCCCGTTCGCATCATATCCAACCCTTGCTGGTAAGCCTGAAATGTAATATTTTATTCATCGTCTTCTTCTGGCAGGTGTATTTATGGAAAAGTATGAAAAATATTTTAGCAGAAACTCCGTCAAATTAGGTGGTTTGGATTTGTGTACCCACCGACTACTTATGCATACAAGCAGTGGCGTAGCCACGGATGCTTGTGCATTGTGAACTTTTAAAAAATTACATTGATCTACATGAGCCTATGAAATTTCAGAGCTGAAAATTCGGCTACGCCACTGCATACAAGCTAGGATACTTGTACATAATGGTAAACATGAACTAGCTATGCAAGCACGACATAGTTTAATGTGATCCTGTACAAACGCGTATTTGTAACAGATTTGCTTATCGTCCCGTGACAGTTTTGCGTAGTTTCCGTTTTATTGTTGTTACTTGATATGCTAGGCGTCTTATTTTGACGTCACATGATACGTCATTGCACGACCCAACAGTTTACTTTGTTTCACATAAAAAGACTGGAGTTCCTCAAGTGCCGTGCCGCTGCGAAGTTTACTGGTCTGTATATGGGATATCGCGTCCCTGGTGCCGCATTTACGTCAGTAGCTAATCTTTTATTCGACCGAACAAAAGATTTGTATTATCACGCTAGGCAAACACCTTTATCAAACTTCGTTTTTTGATATGGTATAAAGTTTTACGCGCCGATGGCTATGAATATACCAGCCCCAGGTCTGCCATGCCGTATGAAAAAGGCCTACGTGAGTGGTTGAATAGAGTCCAAAGTGATTGTCAACTAAGTTGTTATCGTCACAACTGCATGGAGATTGATCTTTACCGGTACCGTCTGCTATATAAAGAGATTGCACAATATGCTATATTTAATAACAAAATATGACGAGATGAAGAACTTTCAAGAACAAATTACTGTATAGGAATAACATACTGCAAAAATTAACACTGAAAATCTGTCTCCATGCACTAAATGTGTGCTAAGACATTTTTAAAAACTAGCGGATGTAACGAACAATTTTTTTTACCTTCAAGTTTTTAGTGATGTTAAATCGAGCTAAATTGGTAATTGAGTGTTGCCATGGTACCGTTGTATTCTTAAATATAAATATATATATCACTTATCAGATTGGTAATCTTTTAGCAGATATATTTTATTGCAAATTTGCAATAAAATAGTGAACAATAAGTAGCAGACCAAAACACATCAATTATATGAAATAGTTTTATCTTTATGACAGGCTTAGAATTGTTGCTATGGTTTGCTGTTCAGAGCATTATGGAATAGAAAAGTTTATACCTTGTAACCTTGGCAACACTAATGACGCAATTGTTATAGAGGAAAACCTTAGCCAAAGATATACAGCAATTATCATTGGGCAAGATATTATATTCATCACGCAAAGGTTTGTTGGCCGCCGTGGAGACTTTGCCACCCATATGTGCAGAAAATCAAAGCCCTGCATGCTCTGCGGTCACACACAACGGTGCATTGACCTTCACAGCCCCACTGCGTAAACCGGACTATACATAAACAGCAGATCGATCCTCAGAACAAAAGCGACATCTGATTTGACAAGAAAAGTGCCCTTGTTCTTCTCAACCAATCAAAACGGTTGTTATATGAATGGAAAGCTTATTGTGTTATCTTTCAGAAACCGTGCGAGGTAATTGTATGCGACCGGGTTCACACTTGTGCTGTTCGAAGAAGTAAACCCGCACCCTCAAAAATCGGGGAAATGTTCCGTGACCTCCATAGAAAACGCGAAATTTTCACTGAGTTGCCCGTTTTCCAATGGAAAAGTGCACATAATCATTCACCTTTAATCATTAAGAAATTTTATTCATGTGAAAGAGGAAAATCTGTATTTTGTGATGCGATGCGAGGAAGTAAGTTTAACCAACTTACTTTCCGCATATTAACGAAAGTTTGCTCAGAGCGCCTAGACATGAGCCAGTCTTCCCACGTAAACAGAGCTCCACTAGGGCGAGTGAGCAAATGCTCCCTGGTTCTCCATATAGTTCACGTGACCTTTATATAACTTTTGATATTTTGTGTGAAATTGAAGTTGATTGGGTATAAAATGCCATTGAACAGAACGTCTTACTCAGAATTTGTATTGTGTAAGGAATTTTCGCTTTAACAAGTCCTTTTCTCCTTATTTGGGAAAATTTCGTACAGCATAAGTTCACCTATACAACTGGTCCTGGTCATTATATTAAAACAATATTGACGTATAACACGGTCACGCGGATGGCGAATTGTGACGAAAACTTGGAATACAAGTTCTGCAACAAAACGCTTCATAAAAAAAAACATTCGAGTAAGTTTCAGGTGAGGAGACAAAACAGTAAAGACAAAAAGTGTTATTTTGTTTACTTTTTTTTGTACTTTTCAAAAACAGAAAAATTTGGATGTTTTATGTAGTCTAATTGTCTTTGTAAATATGATTTTCCATATATGTGTAAATGTTTGAATGTATGTGTTGATGTTGTATTTTGAAGCTGGACGATGTGAATAAATGGAGTCTTATAACTCCACTTAACTTCAGCAAACACAAGACGAAGAGTACACGTCTAAATGAATAGCTCACAGGGCACGCACGACTGACCGTACTCCAAAGTGCTACCGCGTGATGATAGTGACAAGACCTATTTTTAGAATATGAAGTCATTGAGTCGCAAGACAAGTTCCATTCATGACGACTATGACCATCGGTGACACGTGAGCTTCTTTCGTCACACCTTTTGTGATAAAATGGAACAGCCCTCCTCGGACGATTCGGTATCAGATTTTGATGCAGATAACATTAGCTTATGCGTCGTGTGACGATGTTATTATATTTAGGGCACATTGCCAATGGAAAAGTCGTTCAAAGTCCACAGTTTGAACAATAGATCGAGCTGAAAAGGTTGAAAGTTCTGGTGCATAGTTGATTCTTTATCACTGTCTATTAATAAACTGAATGAAATACTGACACCAAATAAGGTCAAAGGGACGCGACAAAGAATTAATCTTACTGATCTTTTCTTAAAATGGTCAACCCCCCCCCCCCCAAAAAAGAAAGAAAATGGTGTCACTCAGGTTTGCTTGAAAGCTTGGGTATGGTTACGAGTTTATTTCATATGGGAGGTCTTCCTAAAAAGTTAAAAACCCCAAAAGATGGACAATAGGTGCCCGATTGCAGGAAAATACACACTTGTCTGCGTGTGTGAATTTTATCGGTTCACGTTTACTCAGTCATCACCATGATGAACGATTTGCAAATTGATACCCAGTCACATATCATCATCTTTAATTTTCTGATTTCGACAAACAACAAAAGTACCTATCAAAGGACTAAATTACCAGCAAATGAAGGAATTATTTACATGAAAGCGGCAGAAAGAAACTCATTATTATTAACAGTGTAAACGGAAAAACATTTTATTAAAGAAAAAAAAATCTGAGATGTTTTCTTTACCGAAATGAGGGAAGGGGTTTTATGGGGATAGATATTACGTTATTTTAAAAACAGAATTCTCTATAACGAGAAATTCCATACTTCCCCTTAGCCAAAGTTCACGGATGCGTAAGCAGACCCTTTCTTTGGTTGGGGTGAGCGTTTATGTTTGCTTTTCAAATTCAATTATGACTTAACCCTAAAGGGGCCGGGTTATTTTGACCATCTCTCAGCCGGGGGGGGGGGGGGGGCGGATTCCGCCCCCCCCTAAGATCTCGGCCATCGAGTAACGAAAAATTTTGAAACTCGGCACATGCATAGAGCAACTCTTCCTAAACATATACCCAAGAAATTTCATGACTATAGGTCAAAGGGTTTTGGAATTATGGCTAATTAATTATTCATATGTACGAATGGAAATTCTGCTCTGTGTACACGACGTATATGTGAAAATTCAGTTTTCACGGCGCGTAGCGCCGGAAAATTTTTCGCTACACAGCAACCCGTGGTCCGATTTTTATGTTTTTGGTATCAAAAGATGCGCAAAGCTCGAGGCTAAAAAGTCATAACAGCTCGGGTCGCGAAAATTTTTTTTTAGAGGCTATCACGGAAAATGTTGAGGGGGGGGGGGGGGGCCGGCCCCCTTAGGGTTAAAGACACGGACAAGCATTTTCCAGATTAGTCTTTGTGCCTTAAAGTTATGCAAATGTGCCGGAATTCCTGAGGTTATTCAGCGGCAGTCAGTATCATCATTACCGACACAATATAGTTCTCACCCTCAATTATTATTTCTGTCCCACCTAATTTTGTCGAAACTAACATAGTTTGAAAATTGCCATGTAATAAGCATTTTCCATTCCTCTTATTATACACAGTGCTAAAAGAAAACAATATGAATATATGGGCACAAATACTGGAGTTTATTTTTAACTACATATATTCTGGTTCAAGTTCGAGGACAGCAGGTTGTGTATTCGTCAAATAAAAAGTCATCAGGTGTATAAAACTGACGGACGTTCCAGACAATGCGCCCTTACAACTTATGCCATTCATCGAATCATGACGTTTCAATTTGGTCAAGGTCACATGAACAATGCACAATCAATATCAATACCAAAGTTACTGTTTGTATAGAAAATTCCGGAAATTAATTGAAGAGCAAGTTTGAATAGAAAATAACTTCCGGACTTTTCAGAAAGAAAAGGCTCTAAAATGACTAGACGTTTTCACTTCAAAACAGACGCAATTTTCTATTTGATCATTCGGATTTCAAAAACAAAACTGGACACTGTTAAGGCCCAGCTTTAAGGGAGTGTTTGGAATATTTCGGTTTAGAATGTTTAG